GGCCCGGCGGTTCCGCGCCGGGAGGTAGGTGGTGCTGTTGCCGCGACTGTCTCCCTCATTGGCGCCGCGCGGAGAGGCGGAATGTTCAACTCCTGATCGGGCGGAAGCGTGGGAGCCCCGCTGGCCGCTGTCCCCGCGACCCCCCGCCGCCGCCCTCGTCGTGCGCGGGGCCTCCGCGCCCCCGGCTGCCGTCCGCGCCCGGCTCGGGAGGAGGTAGGGCCGGGCTGGGGGCTGCGGAAGGAGCGGGGGAGCGAGGGCGCGAGGGCGGGAGGGGGCGAGGCCGCCACGCTCGCAGGCGCCCCAGGGTCTCGGGGTTGAGGCCCTGCCGGGGTCCGGGGTCCGTGCCGAGCCAGTGCCGGGGCGGGCGTCCACCGGGCCCGGGGAGGAGGCCCGCGGGGAGCCCCTCTCGGACCCGGGGCCCGCCCGGGCGGCGGCGGGGGTCGGAGCGAGCCCTCCCTGCGAACCTCAGCCGCGGCGCCGCCAAGCGCGGTCCGCGAAAGTTCGGGCCCGTCCCGCGGAGAAGTTGGAGCGCGGAGGAGCGGGGCGCAGGCCTGGGCGCCTCGGGATCTGGACGTGCGGCTTAGGCCGGGGCGCCCCCGGGCCGGGCCCCGCGGCCTCGCAGTGGGTGGCTGGGGCACTCCCGTGAGGCCGAACGCGAGTGTCCCCAGCGGGGCAGGGTTCGGGCCACTTCCCAGCGGAGACCTTGCCTGCGCGGGGAGCGGGCTAACTTCTGCTTTTCTGCGGAACTCGGCCGGGAGCTTCTTTCTGCCCGGAGCGACCGCTCGCTGCCCTTCCTGCCGCGCGTCTGGGCGGCGTGGAGCGCCGGCTCCCTCGGCCTCTCCGGGTCCGGCCGCGGGCGTCCCCTTAGCCGACTCTCGGGCGGCGGGCTCAGCGGGCGCCCGGACCCCGCCAGGCCCGGAGCTGCGCGCCCAGGCCGCCGCCTCGCCTGCTGGCTCTTGACAGCTTTCAGATAAACTTCAACTCAGAACTGGCTAGATGACATCGAATTGCTGGAAAAGGGGGGACATCTTTGTTAGATTGCCAGAAATGTATGTTTCTGATGCGCCTTGAGACCGCGCAAAAGCACTGTTTATGGGGAACTTAATTACTATTTTTGTTAGTTTCTTTACTCAGGAAAAGAACACAATTTAGTGGTTCATGTAAACGTTATTACAATAAGCAGCTCTTATTAATAATGGGGCATGAGAGTCATCCTAGTGAATAAGTTTGAGGATATTTGAGTTGATATTGTTGTGAAGTATATTCTTATTTTACTCATGAAGCTGTTTTAGGAGAGCCTTCCAGCTTCCCTGACCTTTGTTGTAATGAATAGCCAGTGTTTAATGGATCCAAACCTACAAACATGTTTAAAGACAAAAATAAATTATTCGAGGTCAGTTAATGCCTTCTTTGTGGTCTGCCCTTCTCCTCAGTGAGATTTCATGTCCTTGGGATTTTAAAAAAAGTTATGTGCTGGCTGCATTTTAATAATGGTTTTAGTTATTTGTAGAGTCATTGTTTTAAATTCCTGATACAATAGTGAGAGATTTGGGAGATTGTAAATGAATAGGAATTTAGTGTGTTTGGAAAGAGATAATTAAGATAAAAGTGGTCTTTTGGAGCAGTGTACACTGTTTATTTTAATCTTGGAAAATTTATTCCTACTTTAACTTTTTGTGATTGTTTTGGAATTTTTTAAAACTGCAAGATATTATTTGAACCAAAAGTTTCAGAGTAAATGACCTAATTCAATTGCAAGGATTTTTTTTTCTTGTCTAGGAAAGGGAATAGAAATGATTCATCTCTCTTTCTTATTCTTTTAGGAGCTATGTAAGGACACGTTAAGGGGAAGGGGAGAGAAAGAGAGAAAAATTCAAATATTAAGCACGAGGATTTGGGTCTAAAAATGGATGGTCAAAGATCTTGGGAACTCAGGGGCCTTCTTGCCAAATAAGGAAACTTGGCAAGTTGCACTGTGTATTTTAAGTTAGCACAAGAGTGAGTGTTATTGGCAATATATTGGCTCAGTGCCTATCTGGAATGAGCAGTGAAACTGACTTTGATAGGGCTACATAATTATAAACAGGAGTTATGAGGGGCATGGAGTGAATAATCCAATCATCAGAGAAAACACTGGAGAAATCACGATGATGTTTTATTGAAAAGAGGTCTGACGTAAAGTGAAGCTGCTGGTGTAGAGTGAAAGAGCAAAGTGTTGATTTTAGAAATTGACAGATGCAGAAAAGAGAGAATGTTTTGTTTGTAAAATTGGGGAAAAGGTGTCAGTGGTGATACAGAAGTTCTTGGACTAAGATAGCGTTACATCTGTTTCCTGAGATGCTGGAAATAAAATATCAATTTGGATTATTTGTTTTCCATTTTATTCTACCCAGCACAGATCGACAGGGTGGATGTCTTATCTGTTTAAATGTAATAGCAAGAACCAAGATACCTTTTCATTTTACTGCAAGGAAGATTTAGGCTACTTCTTTTGTGGCTATTAACCTTGCCCCACTATACACAAATGGGCAGAGTTCCAGCAGTGACCAGAAAACTGTACCTGTTAGGGGAAGAGAGCTTTGAATGTTAGAGCTTAAACTGATTGGACGGATACACAGGTACTTTTATGTCAGACCCTCCTAGGGATGGTGGAACATTGATTATACACTAATAGCAGTTAAATAATCCCAACGCATTAGAAGATTGTGAGCAAAGCAGCCATACATTTCATACCCTAACCCCAGTGTCACCATTGCTAATAGGAAATTAAAGCTTCAAATTATAAACTTTAGATGGATGATAAGCAATCCAGTAATTACTGTTAATAAGAAAAGAGCCAATTTGAAGTGGAAAAAAAGGTAAATTAATAGGAATAGGCAGAATGATCTGGTCAGGAAAGACCTGAATTTGAATTCTAGTTGTGCTAAGTTAGGTAATTGGCTTGGGTTACTTTTACACCCTTGATCCTCAGTTTTCTTACGTATAGACTGGGCACAGTAATACCTGTTCCTGAGGATAAGTAGTCATTTGTTACTTGATGATAGGGATGGTTCTGAGAGAACTGCGTTTTTAAGTGTTTGGTCATTGTGTGAACAGTATACACGTACAATGTACTTACATATAAGGCTGGGTGCACATTGGCTCACACCTGTAATCCTAGCACAGGAAGATGAGGTGGGAGGATTGCTTGAGCCCAGGAGTTCAAGACCAGCTCGGGCAACATAGCGAGATGCCATCTCTACAAAAAAATTTTAAAAATTCATAGAATGTGGTAGTGCATAACTGTAATTCCAGCTGCTTGGGAGGTTGAGGCAGGAGAATAGCTTGAACACAAGAGTTCACGGTTGCAGTGAGCTACTACCAGGGCACTGTACCTCCAGTGTGAATGACAGAAAAAAATATACTGACACAAACCTAGATGGTACAGCTTACTGTATATGTTGGCTATCTAGTGTAGCCTTTGCTTCTAGGCTACGAACCTATACAGCAGGTGACTGAACTGAATACTGGAGGCAAATCGTAGCACAATGATAATTATTCGCGTGTCTAAACATGTCTTAACAGAAAAGGTACAGTAAAAATACAGTGTGAGGGACAGAGCACTTACCCTTGATTGGGGTTTCCGGCCTTGCCGGGAGGCGGCCGGGGTTGGTTCGGGGGTTGGGGGATGTTGAGGTTCCGGGGGCCTTTCTTTTCGGTTGTTTTGGCTTTGGAACGGTGTTCCCTTTTGGTTCTGTTAACTTTCCAAAATTTTTTTTTTTTTTTCGTTATTCCTTTTTTTTTAACTTTATTTTTTTTACTTTTTGCCCTTTTTATTAATACTTTTAAACACACTGTATAGCTGTACAGAAATATTTTCTGTCTTTATATCCTGTTTTCTGTTCTTAAATTTTTTTCCTCTTTAAATGTTTTGTTAAAAACTAAACAAACACATCAGCCCAGGCCTACACCGGGTTAGGATCGTTAGTACCACTGTCTTGCATCTCCACATTTTGTCCCACTGGAGGGTCTGTAGGGACGGTAACTAACATGCATGAAACTGTCGTAACCTGTGATAACAACCTCCTCTTCTGGAACACCTCCTGAAGACCTGCCCGAGGCTTACAGTTATCTTTATTCTTTTTTCTTTTTACATAGAAAGACTACACCAAAATAAGGATAAGAGGTCCATACGTAACCTAGTCAGATGGTGGTTTTGTACTGTCCATAACTGTATACACTCTACTTTGTACAGTTGGCAACACTGTAGGTTTGTTTACGTCACCACAAACGTGAGTAATGTGTTGCACGGGGATGTTGGAACAGATGCGGTGTCACTAGGTGATGGGACATTTTCAGCTCTGTTATAATCGTTCAGACTGCTGTTGTGTACGCAGTCCATCCCTGACTGAAATGTCATTATGGGGTACGTGGCAGTATAGAGACAGCACACAGAAATGCTTGAGCCAGTGCCTGAAACTTAGGCCACTGAGACTGAGTGGTAGGGAGGAGCGTTTCACCACATCTCTCGAGTTATACACAGAGCTGCTCGGCCCACTGTCCTTCAGCTTTCTGCTGCTTTAACAGAGTACCTCAGCGTGGGTAATTTATAAGGGATAGAAGTTTGTTTGGCTTACATTTCTGAAGCCTGCGAAGTCTAAGAGCATGACACTGGCATCTGGTAAGGATCATCCCAGAAGGCAGAGCAGGTGCACAGACAGAGGGGAAAAGGAGGCTGACCTCTCGAGACAGTGCGCCCCCCCTGCCATAACTGTGCTAGTCTGTTTGGGACCTAATCATCTCTTAAAGCCCTGCTACATTGGCAATTACATTCCAACCAGAGTTTTGGCAGGGATGTTCAAACCTAGCGCCCACCTATACTGACTCAGGCTTGCCCTTGATAGCCTGCTATGTTCCACCGTCATACTTAGGTGTGTATGGAGGGGTAGTAGGAGATTTTTATAAGTACTCTACTTCTTTGAGTATAGAAGCTTCTAAAATGTGTTCATGAAAGCTTTGTAATGTTTTTTGAGGGAAGAATCTGAAAATAAATGCACTTAAGTATACGGGGAGGAAGGGAGAGAGGGAAGGGGGGAGGGAAAAATCTGTGTGCTCCCATTTATGGGCACAATGTCAAGGGACATGGCACACCTCCTGGGGACAGGGCACAACTACAACAGGAATCTTACGTAACAGATGCAAACATTGTAACCTAATCACTTGTACCCTCATAT